CCTGAGAGTCGTTTAAAGTGGAAAACCGCGTATCAACAAAATGCAAAACCGCGTATGTGAACTTGTAGAACTTATTTTCTAGAGCGTAAAAACGCTCATATTTCAAAACGGTTCTCTTTTTTATAAAGCAATCGCATATCTGGCTAATATATTTCAGGACGAATGGATTAGGATTGAGCCAAGAGCTTACGCGGTTTTGCAGAATTACGATACGCGGTTTTGTACTTTAAACGACGATATGCAAAGCCTGCGAAGTATGCAATGCGATGAATAGTGGAAGTGGACCACTAGTTAGTTTAAACTTCTTAAATAATAACATGATCGCCAATGCTCCAATAACCGCCCGATGGGACCCAGGTTCGATTCCTGGTCCGACCAACATTCAAAAACTTCTGTCGTCGAACGGAATTCGTTTGAATTTTACAAACATATTTAAATTGATATACATACATGAATACCCTTACCTTTGGATGCGCTCTGCGGGGAAATGCTACCTTTGGGTCGATCTGTAAATATAGAGAAAAATAGCATGAAACAATTAAGAAAGCACGTTATGCGAAAACAATTTTAATAAATTTTCGTACAAAAATTCTAGCATGTAGTATACATATAGATATTTATATATACATATATGTGCAGTACAAATATGATAAAAGTGTTAGAGTAGCTGAAACAAATGGGGAAGTCTATGACTAAACATAAAATGTAAATCCCTGCCTACGTGTGTACTATTCAAACGCAGATATGTTTATGGAATTGTGCTTCTATATTTAGGCAGTCGCAAAAAACTTGGGGTTACAATAATGTTCTGAACAGAGCTGTGTTACAAAAAAAATGCTTTCGAAGCAACATTTTAAATGGCAACACTTAAGCCGCATTAAACGCGAAAATGGCAACAAAGAGCACCACAAATGGCGGTGGCTACAATTCCATTTTTTATCGGTATTGCAGTAGGCTATGTATCTAAAAGCAAACAAGTTCTATATAAAATTTTTATTGAAAAAAATGGCAAAAAGAGAGTGAAAAAATTATAAAATAAACCTGATGAGAGGAGAAGTCATAAGATGGGGACAGATGATACCAACAATTCTTTTGACTTTTTCTTTTAAGTATTATTTATTCCATGTATATCACGTGTAGCTCTGTGCTCAAGGCGACAATGCATTGGCAACATTTTAACACAAATTTTTCCTAGCAATCCATCCACCCCAATCAGTGGCAGATTTACCGTAAAGGCAACATAGGCAGGTGCCTAGGGCGACAAAATTTAGGGTCGGCAAAAGTTTAGTTCGAAAAAAATAATAATAATTGCAAGTTAGCTGCACTGAAAGTAGAATTTGTGTTTGTACATTTTAAGACATAAATTTGAGATTCAATTATGCAATCAGAAAATAGGACAACACTGTTGGGCATTTTTGATATTATTTTAATGATAATTTTTAAAACTACTAGTTTAGTATTTTTAAAATTATAACTTATCTAGTGAAAAAACTTTGTTGATGATGGCTTTCTTCAAAAGTTGAAAACCTTTACTCAAGGAAAATACCACTTTTTCATCTTAAAAATTGTAATAAAAGTATAGTAAATAACATAAATTCGAATATTGCTGTTTATTGCTAATCGTTCCAAAACTGGTACTTCTTAATCAAAATGTTTTTTTTTTTTCGGAAAATGGTCGGCAAATTCTGAATTGTCTGGGTGCGAAAAATATTCAAATCCGCCATTGACGCCAATCATTGGCAGATTTTGGCACATACATATTTTGTGGAAAATGTTTAATTAGAATATGTCTACATACAAGCACATACATAGATATGTAGGTGTACATATATGTTGTTATAGTCGCGAGGGCTTAATACTGAGGCTTAGAATCTCCCCGACAAAAATCTCCCGCAACATTAATCCCCGCACAAAATCAACCGATAAATACGCCCCAATTGAAGCGCTCGCAATCCGCTCCTCCTAAAACCGGTATTAGCAAGAAAAACATATATTATCTGCAACAACTACGCAGAAATATCGCCAGTGTCAACAATAGTACAGCCGCACAAAAAAACTTCCGGATAAAATCCCTCAGAAAATTTCCCCGGTCAAAATCTCTCGAAACAAACTTTCTAATAGCGGCTCCTAAAAAAGTATAAAGCAAATCTTTTTTTATTCATTTTAATCAAATGGATCCATTATTAAAGAAAACAGTAGAATATTAAACAAAAACAATAAAAAGAAAATAAATCAAACCCATGGCGGAATTATACCAGATGAAGTAATTAGAGCGAGAAGAAAGATTATGACACTGCCCTATTTGAAATTTTTCCTATAAAATTTGACTATAGGTCAGCCGAATGTCATAAAATAAAGCGGTAAAGCTGTTTTATTTCTTCACTTGTCTATTGCGCTACTTTTGAACCGTTACTGCACCGAATCCTAGGTAAGTAGCTACTCTATTAACCCGTGGTAGTGCACATGGTAGTGCAGAGTCGAACCGGTCGTAAGCAGGATAGCAAAAAATTAGGACAGAGGGCGCCCATAAATCACGCTAGTGACTACTTTAATAAATAGTAGTGCAGATAGAGCTGATGGTGACTACCGCCTAGGATATTGCCTTGTAAAAGTAATCATTGAAATACACTGCAAGTAGTCGGTCGGTAATTGACGGAGTTTATCACGTAGCTACCGATTCAGCAGTCCTGTAGTCGCTCCCCAAGCAAGATTTTTTTTTTAGTTGGTACAACAAAAAATACGAATCACGATTTCTGTCAGATAGCTAATATGGCGAAGAAAAAGAAGAAGAAGAAGAAAGGAAACTATCTTCTAAAAATTTTTGTATTATGCATTCAACGACAATCACATTAGCAACATTTTTCAAATAAACAAGAATATCGGGCATAGCAGTCGCGACACTTCTTTCTCTTCACTGAAGCTTCAGCTGCAGTGTCACCCAAAACAAACGTATATTCGCTCATACCTTGTCCGCCCTTTAATAAATCGATAAACTTCCACAATGACACATGTGCCTCATCAGCTTTGCTGTTAAAAGCACCATGCCCTCCAAAGCATTCGTGGTCCTAGCCAAGCTAGTCAAAAGTGTGTCATATTGATTCTATTTCTATTTCGCACCAACTGGCCCAGCCATGTTTCCTCAAAATAAACTAAACAGGAGTCAAGTCGTTCTTCGTAATTTTTAAAGAATGAAGAGCCAATCAGCTTCATGTAGACATCACCAACATCATTCAGAGGCACAAAAGCCAACGCCAAGAGTTGATTGAAGTCCCGTTTAAATATCTCGCGGCGATTTATACAAATTTAACAATTGTTTTGATTGGATATTCCTCCAACAACATTGAGCCAGATGAAGGAAACACCCGTGAATTTGAAATTTTGGGAACACCTTCAGCACGGCATTTTGAAAAGCGAGCTCATAATCGCAAACAATTCACGTATGTGCGTCGATTGGCGTTTGTCGGGCAACAAATCGTACACTAAGGGAATATTTTTTCCACCAACATCACCGTGTAATGTAAAAGGCGCATAAATGCCTCAGGGACTATTTTAGGTGCAGTAATTGTGACAATAGTCATATGATGCATTTTGCAAATGATGTGGGATAAGGGCTGTAAGCGGATGTCAAATTTTTGATAAATAATTTAAAAGGTACATAAAGAAACCATTAATGCAGAAAAACAGTTTCTTATTCGAGAACACTATAGCTAGGAGCCTTAAAAAAATATTTTCAAATGCAGTTAATAAATAAAACAAGTGCCAAATAAAATAATCTTTGTTTACTAAACTACCCAGTCATGGGACGAGCTTAAAGTACACTCGTTTGTCAAAATTTTTTTTTGGTTAATAAATAATTTTTCGAACTAATTCGCACAATTCAACTTTAGCTATTTTTAATTTTGTATTATACTTAAACGTCGACAAATATTTTTAACCTGCAGTTAGTGTTAACCAGACATTGAGAAACTGGGCCTACTGCAAAAAACTGATTTTTTTTTAAGGAGATACTACTAAACGGAACTTCTTCGCAGTAATACACAGTTTTTTGCCAAAAAGATAAAGACGAAGCACCGTACCGCGCCTAATAGAGCACGCCTTACCTTAAAAGTTATCTGTCGTCGCACTTAAATTTAAAGGTGTGTTTCTACGAATTTCATCGACAGAGGCGAACATTTACGGAAATAATGACCTCGACCCAAAGTCACTTAAAAATTTATAAGGTGTGAGTCTTCTAAAAATACGAATTAGCAAAAAAGGAATCTACTTAGTGAAATTCACTGCATTAGGGTCAGAGAAAAAAATATGCATTCGTCCTTCGGGCAGTTTTAACCAGTAATGTCATTAAAAATAATTAAAAATCATAAAATTTCAATTATTATTATTTTTCTTTTTTTGTTGTTGTTGTTACTTGTGCATACCAATTTCCATTCACTCTGACACGCTGCAAGCAACTACCCTGGCGCGGCATTGCGTGATGTTGCATAAATGATCGAGGTGCTGCTGCTGCCAATTGTCGACTTCAAGTTGGGATGTGCTGATTGCGAGTAATAAAATCAATGCGGTGGCAATGCTAATCGGTGCTGAAAATCTTGTTCAACGGAAAAAGTTGAAAATGAAATGAAATTAAAGGAACCAATAGCAAATAAAATGGCCATACATACACTAAGGGAAGGGGGAGGATGAATGGATGCTTCGAAAAAATCTATTAAATTGCTGCAAAAATGTGCAAAATGAAAAATGATGCGGGGAAAGTGAAATGATTTCGCAGCAATGGAACGAACTCTGAATGGAAATATTGCACAACTGAAAAATCGGAGAGAATGAGCAGTTGTTGACGAATGGGACGTGAGCTGAGTGTTGTGCACGCGATACAGAGGCAATGGTGACTGTACAGAAGAACGCTGACAGGTAAAGCGCCGAAATTCAGCAGCAAGCTCGACGATTATTTCCTGTCGGATGCGGGCGGTGGGGAAATCGATTTCGAGATTAAAGCTAAAACTAATCAGCATTGAGTGGACGGAATACACACACTAACGAACGTGCAAGCACATACATAGATATATACGAGCATATGTATACACATGCATACGTACATATATACACATAAATATGTACTATATCTAGAATTAAGAATACAGGGGAACAGGCGTAAAGTAAGTGAGTTGGCAGAAATCTGTTAGCAGCACTGCTCGGCTTGATGTTCCGCGCGAAAATCAGCCGACCAGTGAGATGGTCAGATGACCACAATGCAAAGCGAATGACCAAAAATTACACTGATAAAAATTTATAGCACAATAATATTTCTTTCAAAATTTAAAAATTTCAAAAATTTTTATTTATGGGTGCTAATACATGCAGCGTAGAGATTATTATA